AGGCTCTGAAGGCACTGCTGAAGGTCGGCGCAGATCTCAATTCACCCGAAATCCGCTACTGTAAGCATATATTTTTTATGTTGGCATCCTCGCATGAATATAGTTTGTCTTAAATCATGGTCATACTTGGGCATCTCTGTCTGTTAACGTGTCATCAGAATGATGTAAAATGAATGGGCTGACTCCGAAACCCCTCCCTATTGCAGTCAACAGCCCGCTCCACTTCGCTACAATGACTAAACAATTCAGCTGCGTCAAGGTGCTGGTCGAGGCTGGCGCTGACCTGAACTGCAAGGATATCTACCACTACCGCCCCCTGCACATCGCGTCGAGGACCAACTACTTACCCATCATCAAGTACCTGCTTGAGTCTCGGTGTGACCGCGGGGCGAGGACGGTGCAAGGCTGGACGGCGCTCCATGTAGCCGGAATGAGCGGCAGCGAAGAAGCTGTCAAAGTTCTGATTGAATCCGGCCTCGACTTGGAGGCGCTGGACAACGACGGGCGCACCGCAGCCGTGCTCACCGACGAGTGCGGGCAGGGCCACATGTACTGGTACTTCGCTAAGACCTTCGGGGCGTCCACATCCTTGTCTCCGGCAGTTAAGGTGAGATGGCTGTGGAAGAAAATACTTTCATTATTGTGACAAATTTTACATTTCATTTTCAGTTCTGTGACAGAATTTGCATTTTCATCTCAAATAATGTGCCTGAAGTCTCAAACTCTTGTTTACTGTGATTCTGTCATTCTGCTGTGCGTTTACCTGGCATGAACTTGAGTAGCTCCTAGGATATAGTAATCATAGTGATATAGACCTATTATCTATTTAATTTCTGTAACGATCGATGTTTATTCATCTCTCTCATGCACACCTTCAAGGCCCGCCAGAGCATGGAGAGATACGACATTGAGCAGTTGGTGTTAACCTGGGCATCCCAAGATATAGAGGCAAACAAGAATCTCCTTCGCATGAACACTCCGACACCCTTCGATGGACACTACCAAGACCACTCCGGTCGCACAGCTCTCCACGTGGCGGCAGAGAACGGCCACAGGAACAATGTAGTTGTTTTACTGGAAGACTGCAAGATCTACCCAGCAGTGCGCACCCACGCAGGCAAGACACCGGCGGAGCTGGCAAGAGCCGCTGGACACGAGGATTTGGCAAAAATGATAACGGAGAAGCTGGGCCGCGTGGAGGTTCGTTAATTTAGATTTCTGGTTGTCAAGTTTGACGGTTAAAGTAAGTGTGCTTAAGATGAGAAACACACACACGCGAGCGCGCGCGTGGGTGTGTGTGATGAAAAGTTCAAGATTGTAGTGAACATTTTTAATTTTAGAAGTTACAAAGACAAAATGGTTGCGAAGTTCGAGTTCACTTTACGGATGAACAGGGATTCTAAGGAGAGGAGTTCGAGTCGAGTATTATACTTTCTGTCACCATAAAGTTACGAGATACTGAAACATTTATTTCCCAAAATTAAATTCAAAATTAGCTTCATAAATAACTAATATATCAACTCTTTTTTTATGAATAAGAAAACATCTCTGCCTTTGCAACTATGGTCGAATATTGTATACTTTAGTTTCCTGGATATAACGCTAGATATACTGGATCAAGTTCACGCTGTGTCTTATAACCAGAGTACTCGAAGATATGGGCAAATATAAACTACTCTGCCTCAAACCAGACCATCTTTCTCTGCCATTCACGTTGATGTGTATATATATGTGTATTGCATGCTCTTGGTAATAGATAATATTCACAGGGGTTTTGAATTTTTACAAATAAATACTATTATTTTTACTAAATAATGAAATGATAGTGATTCAAAATAGTCATAATAAAGTAAAGTATGCAGAATTCTGGAGTTATCGATTACAAGCTGCAAAGTTTTACATATCACGGACAGGTTATCAAAAAAAAAAATCTTTCCAGAACAGAGAGGAAGCCGAAGAACTGTACAAAGACCTGTTGACTGTCATCGCAGACGGGGATGACGTGAAGAAGGCATCCTCTTTACTCGCTCGCGGTTGTCCCATGAAACCTTGCGGCCTCTACTCCACACACGCCATCGTCCTAGCTGTCACCTCCAACCGCTGCAGGATCCTCACTCTCCTGGTGGCCGCGGGGGCATCGCTCTTCGTCACCGTGCAGGGCTTGACCCTACTGCAGGTCGCCTGGTTCACGGCAGACGTCACCATGTTCGTGAAGATGATAATAACTAAGGTAAGGTGATGAATATAGTGAGGGCATTGAGATGTAATATCAGACTGTGATCTCTGTTTGCGAGAAAATGGTTATAGACATTTGATGCAGATTTTTAGTTACCATCGTCCTAGTCATAGCAGTAAAATAAAACTGGTATTATAAGTATCGATAATGTTATTGTCATCGTGTTTTTTTTTTTTTTTTTTTTTTTTTTTTTTATACAGTCGATACTGCACGTGCTGCAGGAGGAACATAAAAGAGCAGAAAACTGGCCCGAATTGCAGAAAGGGATCTCATCCATCATAGCCACACTGCAGGGGGAGAAACCTTGGATGGCATGCTGGCCTGTTCAAAACCCTTTAGGAAACCAGCCCATCCTAATTCGACGACTTATTGAAGCAATCTACGCGAAGTGTAGCCTCACAGTGTCATTTCTCCTGAATGCAGGGGCGATGCCGTTGCTTTCTGAGGAGTACTATGGGATTAGTCCCTTTGAAGTTTCGCTAAAAGAAAACAGATGGGGCTTGGCTACACGACTGGCGCGTAACACAGGTGGTTTGTATGTTGCCGACTCGCAGGGCAAATTATACAGGGACTACCTACCACGGTGTCAAAGAATGGAACTGGAATCTGTAAGATATATATATATGTATGTTTTATCATTATGCGATATAAGTAGACGTTTGAAAAAAAGTACATAGATGTACAAGATGAATATGTATTGTGTGATTGAGCTTTAATTAGTATAATAAGGAGATTTTACCCTATGGTTGTGTCTTAATGTAGCATATAGTCTAATTCATAAATTTAATTGCAGGACATTTTTGAACAAGAATTGAGGAAAATATTTCATGAAGAAGAGAAAGTAAAGGATGAGGAACTTCGACAGGAAATTAAACTTGTTAGACATCTTCAAAGAAAACTGTATGAAGCTTATCAGTCGGGCATTCAGATGGATGACAGCACACAAAGACTAGTACACCACATTGGGTGTAAAGCACTCCTAGGAGCCGCAAGGTTTAATCTTGTGCAGCTGGCTTTCTTGCTGTTCACCAAGGGCGAGATGGATGTCAACAGCAAACTCGAAAGCATGACAGACTCCACTGCGGTTCACCAAGCTGCTGCATTTGGAAATCACAATTTGGTTTTCATGATGCACAAGATAGGAGCAAATATCACTCTGCAAGACCGCTATCATCACACGGCACTCCATTTGGCCCCCATGTTTGGCCATAGAATTACGGACGAACAACTAAGAGCACTGGCAAATAGAGAAGAACCAGTGTGTAAATCTGGCACAACACCTACTCAAGTAAGGAACAACTTCGAAGTGTATCTGAGGCAATATGGGGTTGACAATAATAATGTTGAACAGTTCGTGAACTACGAGGAGTTCAACAGTGCAAACAAAGCCCTGGAGAAGCATTTGGGAAGACTCAGTCTCGATGAGCTGAAGAAACAGAGCTGGCTCAGGTGTGTAAACTATAACGAAGGAGAGGCGAAGGAGGTATGCGAAGCTGTGATGGCCGAAATGAAACTCTTAATGGATAAGGTAGGCCAGCTGAACCCAGCACTCAAGGGCAGTTTGATTCTTCTTGGCAGCGCAGCCGATGGCACCCGCCTTTGCGCGCCTGACGAGTTTGATTTTAACCTCGTCATTCAGCCACCTGTGGCCATTGACTTGAACATAGAACATCTAGGGAAAAACGAGGCCATTCTCAAAGGCCACAAATCGGTCCTCAAGGTGAAACCACGACACTCAAAGGCTAAGTTGCTAAAAGAGTCAAATTTAAAGAAATGTTTCTATGATGCTGTTGTTAAGAGTCTGGAGGGACATACTTGCAAGGACCGCAGGCTGAGTCTGACTCCTCCAGGAGTCACAAGAACTCAGGTTGGAATAACACTGTCCCTGGCATGGCAAGGGGAGCAGTTCCCTCTTCTGCTTGTAGGGGTAGATTTCGTTCCTGTATTGGCTGTCCCTTGGCCGAAAACAGTCTCAGAGCCGCCTCTGACGCCCCCAGGTATCGACAACGTCTTCATCAGCAGTCTTGGAAATGGGAAGTGGAGGTTTTCCTTTGCTGCCGTTGAAGTAGAAACCCTTAAAGGCCTAGATGACATGGAAAGACTTGTCTACCTCACGTGCAAAAATCTGCTAGCAAATTTGAAAGCCGAGCCGTGGATGCCGAAGGTGGTCAAGAACTTGTACACCTGGTGGGACTCACAGCTCTGGAAACTGTCGATCCCGGCTGGATTTGCCCTGAAGAACTGCTTCCTGAGAATCGTTGAGAAAAAGAGAGAGAATGGCATTATGTGGGTGGAAGAAAACCTCCATCATTACATGACGCAGATTTTCTTACTTATGGTGGGCGAGTATACCGACCCAGAGACAATGAGGACTCTCCAAGTATCGAGAAAGATTTACCCATATTATGGCGGCGATTTTGAATCTCCAAAGCTCGGCGAAGGAGTCAAAGAAATCCTCTCCTTCATAGAAGAGGGCCAGAGAGCCCAAAACAGACCTTCACCAGGCAGTCAGGAAAGCGGCAAAATTAAATCACTGAAAGTCAAAGAAATAATTTCCTTTTTGGAGGATATGCAGAAAAATAAAGTATCTTTTAAAAGGGCTAATGAGTGCCCCATATAGTGCTTGGATAGTTGTGAAAGTGGATACACTGAATCAACAGTGAGAAAATGAGTCAAGCATATCCGTTCCTGTGGACCTTGACAAAAAAAGAAACAGAAAAACTATAGATGTGATGTTAGTGTGAACAATAAAAGTGAATTTGTATTTGTAGTTTTAGTAATCAATTTCAGTAATTTGAAAATAGGAAAATGTGAACTACATACGTGTGTGTGTGTGCGTGTTTGTTTGTTTGTGTGTGTGCGTGTGCGTGAGTCATGCCTATCAACCTACATCACTCATATGTTGAAAATTTATCGGACTCCTACATTAGTTGAACCCCTTTGTCGACTGAAAAAAAAAATGCGTCGACTTGCATCTTTGTCGACTAGATACCTAGTCAAAAAGAGATTTTGACAAGGTTTATTATGTAAATGTCTTCGGTTTTAGGGGATTAAAATGAGTCATGGCGTTCAATCAAAACTTCCTCTGCTGATAGAATATACTTTAAAAGTACACGCTTACTCACGTCGACTTGGACTTTCCTGATGCATTAAGCAAATACATCAGCTTTTAACTTGCCTCCTGTGAGGTTTGAACTCACGACCCCTGGTTTACGAGACCAGTGCTCTACCACTGAGCTAAGGAGGCTGATGCAAATAATGGTAAAATATCACATTTCTGATAATGATAATACTGCTAATAACTATATTGTTTTGTAAGCGTAAGTGACCACCGCTGCCATCAGAATGTTAAGCGTAAGTGACCACCGCTGCCATCAGAATGTTAAGCGTAAGTGACCACCGCTGCCATCAGAATGTTAAGCGTAAGTGACCACCGCTGCCATCAGAATGTTAAGCGTAAGTGACCACCGCTGCCATCAGATTGTACGCGTAAGTGACCACCGCTGCCATCAGAATGTTAAGCGTAAGTGACCACCGCTGCCATCAGAATGTTAAGCGTAAGTGACCACCGCTGCCATCAGAATGTTAAGCGTAAGTGACCACCGCTGCCATCAGAATGTTAAGCGTAAGTGACCACCGCTGCCAGGAAAGCGGCAAAATTAAATCACTGAAAGTCAAAGAAATAATTTCCTTTTTGGAGGATATGCAGAAAAATAAAGTATCTTTTAAAAGGGCTAATGAGTGCCCCATATAGTGCTTGGATAGTTGTGAAAGTGGATACACTGAATCAACAGTGAGAAAATGAGTCAAGCATATCCGTTCCTGTGGACCTTGACAAAAAAAGAAACAGAAAAACTATAGATGTGATGTTAGTGTGAACAATAAAAGTGAATTTGTATTTGTAGTTTTAGTAATCAATTTCAGTAATTTGAAAATAGGAAAATGTGAACTACATACGTGTGTGTGTGTGCGTGTTTGTTTGTTTGTGTGTGTGCGTGTGCGTGAGCGCGCGCGCGCGCGCGCGCGCGCGTGTGTGTGTGTGTGTGTGTGTGTGTGTGTGTGTGTGAGAGAGTGAGTGAGTGAGTGAGTGAGTGAGTGAGTGTGTGTGTGTGTGTGTGTGTGTGTGTGTGTGTGTGTGAGTGAGTGAGTGAGTGAGTGAGTGAGTGAGTGAGTGTGTGAGTGAGTGAGTGTGTGTGTGTGTGTGTGTGTGTGTGTGTGTGTGTGTGTGTGTGTGTGAGTGAGTGAGTGAGTGAGTGAGTGAGTGAGTGAGTGTGCGTGTGTGTGTGAGTGAGTGAGGAGTGAGTGAGTGAGGAGTGAGTGAGTGAGTGAGAAATAATCACTCACTAATAATCGAGAAAAATAGAAAAAATAGGAAGGGAAAGAGAAAGACAAGGCAAGGCACGTGAATATCTTGTGAATATCTATGCGAATATCTTGCATCATGCCTATCAACCTACATCACTCATATGTTGAAAATTTATCGGACTCCTACATTAGTTGAACCCCTTTGTCGACTGAAAAAAAAAATGCGTCGACTTGCATCTTTGTCGACTAGATACCTAGTCAAAAAGAGATTTTGACAAGGTTTATTATGTAAATGTCTTCGGTTTTAGGGGATTAAAATGAGTCATGGCGTTCAATCAAAACTTCCTCTGCTGATAGAATATACTTTAAAAGTACACGCTTACTCACGTCGACTTGGACTTTCCTGATGCATTAAGCAAATACATCAGCTTTTAACTTGCCTCCTGTGAGGTTTGAACTCACGACCCCTGGTTTACGAGACCAGTGCTCTACCACTGAGCTAAGGAGGCTGATGCAAATAATGGTAAAATATCACATTTCTGATAATGATAATACTGCTAATAACTATATTGTTTTGTAAGCGTAAGTGACCACCGCTGCCATCAGATGTAAGCGTAAGTGACCACGGCAAGCCACTAGATGCAAGCGTAACAGAGAGGGTCTTGGGGTGGTCAATGAAAGGGGTCTTAACTTGCTGGTTTATTTCTGAAGGTAGATATGAGACCCCCAAGAGACCCCCGTGTCCCCGGGTGGAGGACGAGGTAGTGGAGCTGGACTCTGTGTACATATAGACTCTGTGACGTCATCAGCCACGTAAAATAATAATAATATATAAAAACCAGATTACAATTTTAAAATACCAGGAAGGATGTCTAAACATAAACTAAGAGAAAAACATACAAATAAGAGAAAATGAAAATAATTTAGGTGACCAAAAATACGACATTTGAAAAGAAGTCGTACCTTCCCTCGATGCTGAGTCAGCAAGCAAACTAAATAACTTACTATAAAAAGGTAAAAGAGAAATTGCTTAAAATAGTGACTAATGAACTCAATAAAAATGATCAATAAGATCTGGTAGAAGATAACACAGTAAAAACGAAAGTATATATAAAGAAACAAAGAGAACGACTATCAGGCAGACTAAACCAAATGCAAAATAAATAAATAATAATAATAATAATAACACACACACACACACACAAAGACGACAATGATATAGAGCCGCGCTCGAACAAGGACGCGACTTCGAGCGATAAATCCGCGGGAGAGGGAGACATTGTAGGGTGCTCGCGGGAAGGGTTGCAGAATAAGCGTTCCTTACAGATTCCTCCCCCCGCTCGGGGTCGAAGCAGTCAGCGGAGACCTGAAAAGCGGAGACCTGAAAAGCGGAGACCTGAAAAGAAAAGCAAGCCTGAGTCCTGATATTTCAAGTGGAGCGGTGACAGAGTAAAAATGTGATCTCATAATAGAAGCACCGCTGGATCACTCATCCATGCTACGGGAAGTGCAATATTTCAATGAGGACAGTTTAATAAGCAGGTGACGCAGTGTGCAGTAGCGTCAGTTACATTAACAGCAACCTCTACTTCCATGTGGCCCAATGCCAATGGCTCACAAAAGTAGAGACCCTAAACTCTTAGGAACGGCACTCTCTACTCCCATGTGGCACAAGACCATTAACGCAAGGAAAGTAAAGTCCCTAACGTCTCTAAAAGTACCTCTAACAGCGATCTCTACATCCATGTGGCATAAGGCCAATGACTCATGGAACGCAGGGCCCCTATATTATCCAACATGTTACTTGTGACAGCATGCAAAGGTTGTGTTACCGCAGACAAGTTCCTAAACAAAATGATAACAGCATCCCTCAATTCAGCGTGGCACTAGGCCAATGGCTCACTGATATGAGGTCCCTAAAAACTTTTGAGCTTGCTGTCCTGGATGCAATTCAGGTTTATTCATGAATACCAGGATCCCAAACACATGACATGAGAATTGCTACCCATGGGTCATTATCTTCAGGAAGTTCATCTGGATCCTCTTCAACATCAGTATAAGCAAGTTCTTCTGATGCTTTGTAAGGTCTTAAGTGGTTAAGATGGGCGCGGAGAACCTTGCCAGAATCCAGGTGCTGAACTTCAAATGAAACAAGGCCCAGTCACTTGCAGACGCGAGCAGGTCCACGCCATTTCGGACGAGGCACCATCTCTTTATACCAGATTAAGTGGCCCTCTTCCAGAGTAAAACTTCCTATTGCACGCTGATTGTAAGACTTTCCATAGACTTCCCGAGCAACCTTGGAAGCTTCAACAGCTGCAAGGCGCGCAGTCTTCAGTCGCTGTTGAAAGGTGCTGTTCTCATCAAAAATTGCTTCATTTGTCAAACCCACAAGAAAGTATCCGTGCCTTCCAGTGAGCAAGTATAAGGGCTGCTCACCAGTAATCTGATGAATGGCGGAGTTGAGAGCAAGCCGCAACTATGGTGCATATTTGTGCCAATTTCCAGGATGTTCACCAACAACAGCAGTAAGGGCAGCCTTCACAACACGATTGGTCCTTTCAACAAGACTGTTTGCTTGCGGATGATACCTAACGGTGAAATGATGGGAGGCTCGCAAAATCTCTACCAACTCTGCAAATACCTGAGAAATGAATTGACGACCATTGTCTGTCTGAATGACTCGAGGTGGGCCAAAGCATGTCACCCAGTAATCAAAGAAGACCCGATGAACTCTAGAAGCTGTAATATCTTTGAGTGGGATCACCTGGATAAAACGTGTGTGCTGATCTATGATGGTAAGTGCCCATCTCACTGGTGCTTGACTCAGGTCCAAAATGTCCATGGAGACTCTTCCTAAAAGGTAAAGGGCCAATGGGACTTCAGCCATAGAAACCTTTTGGGAAACCCCTCGTGCTTGCTGACAGGAAAGGCAATGTTCCACATAATGACGGGTGTCACGTAACATGTTTGGCCAATAAAACATACTGGTAGGTCTGATGGATTCCAGGGTGCATCGCTAGGGGTGGCTCATGAGCTGCCTTCAATGCTGAGTGATAGAGAGTTTCCGGAACATATACCTGGTATAAAATCTTATCAGGAAGGTGTAGCAGCCGATAGAGAACTCCATCCTTTAGCTCAAAGTCTGAGAGTGGGAGTGGCATTTTCCGTTTTGGAACAGTTCCATCCCAAAGATAAACTAAGAGGTCTTGCAGCTTTGGATCCTTACCTTGGTTAGCTGCTAACTTTATGGGAGACAAATCATTAACATCTAGAGCAGCAATATGGCGTGACAGTAGGTCAGGCACGTGATTTGTGGGTCCTTCTTTGTATCGAATCTCAAAGTCGTAGAAAGATAAGTCGTGAGCATACCTAGTCATCCTCGGTGACTTAGTACGGCGCTTGAAAACATAGACGAGTGGTCGGTGGTCGGTAAAGACGATAAACTTTCGACCATAA